TGATTGGATATACTGATCCGAGAATCTTCCAATTTCTCTGTTTAGGGTAATGGATCATTAATGAGATGTAGGTGAAAAATTCCGTCTCAACGTGCTCAACAAAGTTTTCTGAATTGCTTGATCAGTGATTAAATTGGACTGAGAAGCTGTCTGATATCATTACTTTGAAATAGAAAGCATAGACTCGGATGCTGAATGCCGAGGTTTGGAACCGTGGATTCATCGCAGCTTGAAGCAATTTCAGGTTCATTTGGTCGGCGGGGCTGCAGGCCTAGCAGCCACTCTGTTCTTGGGGCCAAGGACGAATCGCTTCGGTGAGAAAGGCTCTCAGCAGATGAGCAACCCGACGAACGCTGTACTGGGCACATTTATGCTGTGGTGGGGCTGGTTGGCCTTCAACACAGGCTCGACATATGGCATTAGCCTAGGCAGATGGAGGCTCGCAGCAAGGTTCGGGGTTCTCACGGAGTTTTTCTTTCGCAAATTTTCAGGTTTGGGTTAGATTTGAGGGGATTTCAGGCTGTTCCGGATCTCTGACAAATTTCGAGGCTGTTTTGGGCTGTTTTCAAGTATCATCAGGATATCGATAGGCATTTTTATTCGAAAAATTTTTCGGATACTACGCTGGCACTTCTAACAGAGAAAAATTCCGCCAGTTATCAACAATTGACACTCTCGATCTATAGCATACCACCGTTGTATGGAATATGGCAAAAGAGATTCGAAAAAATTCGCTCAAATTGCGCTCAAAACTGAAAAAAATACAGACAGTCACTTCAGTGTTCTTCATTCGCAATGATCTTCATATTCATAACCATAATCCTACTCGTCAACAGCTTATCTGTATCCAAAACTACAGTTGAAATCCCTCTAGTGATTAGAAAAAAAAAGAATAAAATTGAAAGAGAATCACTGACTGAAGGCATTAAGGGAGAGCCAACCAGATCTAGAATAGCACTGAGGGTATTCTTAAGCGATCATCACGAGTGATCGCGACAAAACGTCGGGCAGGGTCAGGGGGCGATAAAGGAATGAAAGTATCGTTGGAGGACAAACGCTTCGATAAGAGATAAATTTTTTTCGTACAAACAAGACTGAGAGGATTCCATTCATTTTTCAAATCCATCACTATATCATAAGTTCTGAATTAATCAGATAAAAATTGCTAATCAGTGTAATTATTGAGATTTGGTTTCGATAAGAAATTTTATTGCTGGCTTCCCGATATGGTACAGCAAGTAGCGGATGTTAGGATTCTGCGGAATGCAAGAGATTCTGCAGAAAAGAAGAGAAATTCTGTCAAGCAATTTGCATTCGTAAAAATAGATTAACACTGTCGTTTTGATACGATTCTAAAGATTCAATACGAATTTTGAAATGATAACCAATGTGCACTAATTTTGCAAAACTAATTTGCAAATTACACTAATGACACAATTTGCAAAACAGCTATATGGCTGCTCATGAATGACAATTCTTCACTTCACTTTAATAGCCATCATTAAATTTTTGTTTTTCTTTGCTACAATCATGGTTTTAAGTGAATCATTATTTCCTTCGACTCGATATCATCCATTTTTTACTTTATTTCCTTCGAAATGCGCAGCTTTCGAGGGAAGGAACAAATACAACTAGTGAATTGCTGAATCACACGACATTTGAGAATACAACTAGTGAATCACACGACATTTGAGAATCTTTAATGATCAAAATCGAAATCCTCTGAGAGTTAGTCGAAATCATTAATGTTATGACATTTTGTTGTAGTGTAGCGAGGATTGTATCTGAACATTTGAAATTGGATCAGAATTAGTCCTTTTCGTATATTGAACAAATCCCGTCTGTGAATTGCTCATGGAATATTGAGACAAATCTCATGCAATCTGAGAAAGAAACACTTTAGTAACTGATAACTCCGTGAAAAGAACGAGATGCCATCAACTAGAAACGAGAAGCCTATTTCTACATGACTACAAATATGGAATCGTATTGAGCGAAAAGACTATCCTACTATATCATATTGTAAAAAGGTTTATATGAAGTATGACATAATCATATCATAATTTCATTAATGGCTTATATTTGAGTTCAATATTCGAGCTTATAATCAGATAGTCTATATATGAGCAGAGATATTGGGAATTGATCTTAAAATCTATCAAATGGGAGTTGACACAATCAAGCGAAAGCGTAGAGAACAAAAGACACAACTATCTTAAACAAAACATTGAATTTCTGATGTTTTCATTGAAATTCCATACGTGATTAGCAGTTCACTTCAATAAGCCCCAATTAAATTTTTTAAAATGAAATGAAGAGAAATGGCATGACTAGTGAATAATAGATCTGGGGATTTTGAAAATTTTATTGGTCTAGACAATAATTTTCAGCACCATTTTCGGTATTTTTTCTCAAATTTCGTTTCGAATTGCTGCTGATATCGTTGTCAATTGGTCAATGAAGTTGACTATTCGGACTAAGCTCTCTTTTTTTTTGAATCAGCTGTGATACTGAACTCATTGAGCTATTAGACAAGTCCGATGAGATATCAAAAGCTGACGAAATGATCCATCACTTCGCCGTCCAAATTCGTTTCTTTGTATTTTCTACACCTACTTCATTCATTCTTTGCACTGGAACGCAATAAGGGAATGTCCAAAAACTTCATTTGACCGCAAATGTTTCTATCGGATACATCCGAACAACGTAACCGATCCACAGACTGAATTGAGAGCAATAAAATGAAATCATTTCACGAAATTGAATTCATCCAGTCAACCATCAGACCATCAGACGATTCGTACGAAACTTGGGAAATTGCCTCATTTTTTTGCCGAACAGTTGACAGATTCATTCGGAATGAAATTATGATCGATGACATCGTCAAATATAGGATCTAACATTAGCGGGAGATTTCTTTCGTGATGGGGACTGCAACTCTCGACGAAGGAAATGAATCCATCGGTTTGTTGTTGGGTATGCATAACCGTGCGAGGATAATCCTTTTCCTTCAAGAGCTATTCCTTCTTTTATCCATTTATGCTCTGAAAAGAGTACATGAGTGGTGACTGGAAAGGATTTTTGAGTGTTGGGATTAATAAGATCTGCCTGTATTTTTGACGGTCTTCTCTAAATTTCAGGTCAG